ACAATCGATAACCTTCGAAATCTAACGTTGCGATATAATTTCGAAGGTTTTCGAATTAATATAATTACTGATGAAGTTCAGTTTTCTTTCTTCTTTTTGAAAAGTTTCACTGTTTTTAATTGTTTTAATTGATTTTGCTCGTTCTATGTTAAATAGCTTATATATCTTATTTAGCAATTTTGCAATGCGAAATTCTTTGATTATATTTGAAGTCAGCGATCTCTTTTTTTTTTTCCATTTATATTTTGGTATAATTTGATCTGCTGCTTTTATTATTATATTTTTGAGTGTTAATCAACTTTTATTTAGTGAATTATAATTCTTTTTCTGGTGATTGATGCCATTGAAGAATTTTGATGACTTAACCTCTATAGTTACCAACTCTGCAAATTTTAGCTATCGTTTCTCATCCATCAGCTTCATATTATATTTAGGTCCATTGGGATAAATTTCCTCCTCTTTTTCTCTTATTTGCTACTTTTTCAACATTTTCACACCTAAAAGTTTATGGTCACTACTTGTTATTAATTTGATGTCATCTAAAAAACAGGACGTAATTTTATCACACCATCTGTATGATATCCAAATTGCGTCAATTCTACTTTCCTCGTTTGAATTATCTCTTTTCCATGTATACCCTGTGTTTTCTGGAAACATTATTCTATAGCAGTCAATTAGATCATGACTACTTAGCAGCGGGAAGATTTCACTTTCTGGAAATTGTGAGTGACTATTGTTATTTCGATCTATTGCAGGTGATGGTACTGCATTAAAATCCCCCATCACGATAACTTTTTTCTTTTTCTTTTGAGCTTCATTTAATTGAATTTTAATCCAGTTAATTACATTAACTTTGTCACTTTTTTTACTTGGTAAATAAATTTGCATTATGCAGATTGTCATTTTTCTTGGAAGAACTAGATCTACGCAAATTGCTCTACCCTCATATTCTCTTTTTTTACACACGTACTTATTCAGTGTTTTTGAAATTATTAAGGCTACTCCAGTTCCTTTTCCGTTACCCGAACAGTGGATACGAAATTTATCCTTATTGTCTTTATACCATTGCCCCTTGCTTTCACCGCAATTTGTTTCTGCTATACCTATTATGTCGAACTGTTCATTTTTGATATAATTAAAAAAAAGTTTTCGTTTAACTGTATCATTGAATCCTCGTACGTTATGTGTAGCTAACTTAAAATCTAAATTATTTATTATTTCACTATTATTATGTGTTAAGTTTGTATTTAGATCTAACTTATTATTATTAATATTTATGTTTTAATTATTTTCTATTGTATTATTATTTATATTTATATTATTATTATTTATATTATTATTATTATTATCCATCATGTTTGTTAATATTAATATATAAAATTGTCTATTAATTATGTCGGGCGTATTGGGACCCCCCAGTTCTCATATTGGTTATCATTGTTACTATTATTATATTTTTTATTTTCATTCGCATGTATACTAGATTCAAGTGTATTCATACGTTGGCCTACTTGTTCTACTATTTGTATTAATCTTCCAAAGTTATCTTCATTTTTATTTTTCACTTCTTCGCTTCCTTCTATATTGTGTGTGTTCAGTTCATCAAAATCCATTTGCAAATCAACCTCAGGTTCATTGTAATCACTATGATATTGATTAGTTTCAGAGTTAAGATTGAGTTTGTCTTGTAAGAAATTCTCTAATTTATTAAATCTATCGACTAGTTGTGTGATAATTCGTTCCATTCTGTCTAACCTTTCTTTTACATCATCATTTACTATTACTTTTTTTTTGTT